TTCTTGTTTTGTTTCCATTTGTATTATGACAAAAAATGTCCCTAGCAACATTCACACTAACATAACATAGACACATGCATATACACCACACAGACACACGTACACACACACGCGCACATGCATAAATACACACACACACGCATATATATATATATATATATATATAAGCAATAAGTTTTAATTTTCTGTCTATGCAATTCTTTGTGAAATCAAGTTTTAACTTTTCCTTTTCGTCAAAATAGCTGTAATCTCCATTTACATTTGAATAGAATATTAAGCTTATTTTGTTTACAAATGGCTTAAAACAAATGCAATGGAATGATTAAAAAAATAATTAACTCATAAACTGAACGAATAAAAAGAATTAAAAAAAGATCATCAGTTATTTGAAGCTAATATATACGAAGTTTCATGCTTAAGTTAAATAATACTATTTTGGTAGTATCTTTACGTCTACGCAAAAATTGTGAAGTATTAATTTCTAAATTGTACACACGTCCTGTTTTGATGCACTAATTGTAATTATTATAAGATGTGTTTTTAAATATTTGGTGAAAAACTGACTCTTAAAAAATCCCAAATATTGACCCAACCTTTTCATATATTTTGATAGAACGTTATAAATTTTCAATAAGCAAAAACTTATGTTACAAATCAATGTATATTAAAAACAGAACAAAACGTATTATATAACATGAATAAAAATGAACGGGTTCTATACACATACAATTAAACTGTGATAAAAATAACTATGCTAAAATGTGATAACGATTATAGACAGAAAATGAGAGCGCATATCTGATGATGATAGCGATAATAATTCTCTCATAACAAATTATTCCAACGAAGATAGCGTTCATAAAGTCAAAAGTTTCATGCTAACAATGTGAATGTAGATAATAATGCGCACTAACTTTATCATTTTTAACTTTGACTTATTTTCTTAACTGAATTTTGGGTTTCACTTCCAAAAACAATTCCAAAAAAATCGCTCTTATGAACACTTTGTCTCATCTTTTCAGCTTACATCACGTTAAATTACCAGTTTCTACTAAGGACTGTTTGTTGATCGTGATTTTAGTGACAAAAATTGCAGTAATCAGTTACAGATATAATTATGATAATAAAGATAAAGTAATAAAGGGTCATTATTTTCCTTGAAAACATATGTGTATACATTTAAAATTAAACAGATGTAATAACAGAATCTTCTTCGATCTAATTGACTGCCAACAACTACTATATGCACGGATAATACAAATTACATGAACGTGAAAAAAGTTATAAAACTATTAGTTTATTTTGAATTTTTTAATGAAAAAAATTTTTGCAGTTAATTTTAGAAAATCATACTAGTTTTAAATAAAAACTCTTATCTTCACTTTGATCGCAAAAAAGTAACGCTGATTAGCAATTAGACAATACGGAAATAAACCTTCATAGTTCGACTCATTTAAACAGATACCTCCTCCGTAAAACAAATGAATCAAAATCTTTGAATTAATTTTTTGATCTATGTTAAGAATCACAATAATCACTGATTACTTATTTTATCTTAAAAGAGTACGCATACACAATAACATGCAAAGACCAAAAAACTACAATATATTGCATTAATTTTTGATTACAAAAATCAACAAAATTATCATTTTAACCAACAAAAAGTGCAATTTTCTGCTGCTTAAATATGGTAACTTTGTTATGAATTATTATTAAATATAGTCATTTTTGATTTTAAAAAAATTATTGCAGTAATATTATACAAGCATAATGATGACAATTATAACAAAAATAATGATACCTAAATGCATTTATTTGGATTAGCAATGTTGACAAGTTTCAATTAAAAGTTGCTAACTATTGAAATACTTCAGGACACTCCTTCTTTACATAGCAACCATCCTGTTAATTTATGCACTAGAATTATTATTTTTGAATATAAAAACTTTTCTAAACAAATGAGACTATTCAAAAAAATACCATATTATGCAATTTTGCTATAAAAATTGAGCGCTTTATCCACTTGAATGCATAATTATATATGCTTGACATAAAACTTTAGAACTTTACTTGCTTACTTATTTTCTGTTAAATTAATCAATAACGGTGTTAAAGGTCACAAGCATGATGGTATTAGCACAATTATCAAACATTTAATCAGCCGTAAATCAAAAATAATATACTGCACTCAGAGAAAGTTAGAGAGATATGAAGAAGGAAGATGACTTGTTACAATATCAAACAAATGCAAGTTCTGCTTCTTGTCTTGTCTAAATTGTGACTTAAATGTATTTTTTAAAACAAATTCTTACAATCTATACATGGCTTATAAATATAAGAGATATATACATGTAAGTAAAGCAAAAAGTGTTTTATATAAGCTAACAGTGAAAATAACAGAAAATTTGTATGTAACATTTTAAAATTGAGGAAAGAATATTTAAAAAATAGCATAAGTGGGGGGTGAGGTGAAATTGGCCAATTATTACTTACTTATTTATTTAA